ATAGGTAAATTATTTAAAATATTATCTATTTTTCTTTTCTTTGAAAAACACGGTTAAATTGTTTTATATTTGTTCACAATATAAGTTTTCACTTTTACTTTTATTAGTCTTTAAACTGAATCTTGAATCTTTAAAATATGTTTCTATTTATCTTTTAGTAAAATATTTAATAGTATTGCTTGTTTCTAGCACTTTTCCACAATAAATTTGGTAATAATAGAATTTTCACTTACAATATTAAAATTATAGTTCTTATTGACATTATTGTTGGTAACGTTGACTGGAATCGGTTGTCCTTAAAGTAGTTTTCCTTGGCAGATGTCCGTACAGATGTCCTCTCTTGTTGGTTCTGCTTTTCCTCGTGATGATCCGTCACGGATGCTGGTTCTGTTCTGTTCTTTTCAGACGATTATCCTTCGTCTTCTATGTAATTCCGTGCGCTTTTTTTTTTTTTCGTTTGCGATAAACCGTCACAACACTTATTTAATTTTTTTTTTTTTTTTTTTTTTTTTTTTTTTTTTTTGTAGCGCAGGAACCAGAACTACCCGACTGCGCCAGTTAATTCTTGTAGTAATCCGAGTATTAAAAAAAACACAAGTTTATTCGTTGGTTGCTCAAAAATTACTCTCCTTTATTGAAAACAATAATTAAAAATGAAAGTTACGATTATAACTTATTTAAAGTGAAAATTGCAATAACTGCATTTTGACAATTTATAAAATTATTAGTAATTCTATAGCTGGTGGCCTGTTTACAATTCTTTGAAATTTAAATATATGCTTATTTAACAATTCTTTTATTGAACAATTCTTTATTTTACAGTTCTTTTTCGGTCTGTTGAACTATTTGAAATTCTTACTAATTTTATATGTAGCAATTCATACGGTTATTGACTTATTAGCAATTCTTAATAATTTTTATTATTTATTTGCTTGATTTAACCTTGGTGGCTTTGTAGGTGCTTGTGTTAATGTTGTTGTTGTTGATGTTGTTTCTGTAACTCGCGCCTTACTTTGAGTGCAACAATCGCTCAGCTGTTAACGCTTCGGCAAATGACCAGCCAAGCATACAATTGCAGCGGCAAACTTGTCTGGGCCGTGTGGTTGGGCTAATGGGGTTGTCTGTTGGTCGCTGGCCCCCTCTCCATCCCTCTTTCTGGCGAGTTTGTGTTACGAATGGGTACTAAATTCATTTAAATTCCAAATACTGCTGGCGGAGCTGCTGCTTGGCATGAGGCTTTACAATAACCTGAAGAGTTCAATCAAAACAGTAGAGAAACAGCAACAAAAACTTGTCATGAAACTCAAGTGAAATCGCTGCATTTAATTACACTTGGACTGTGGATATTACTCATGGGTCTCGCGCTCTCCCCCCTGGATGGGCATTTGTAAGGGGCTACTGGTGGTTCTGCTGTTGCCAATGGCCAGTTGTAACTTAATTATCTGCTCAACAGCCAACATTGTCTGCTCGGCTATTATTTTCCATCTAATATTTCAATGGCTTTGATAAATTAATTATATTTAATAAGTGAATAACAGTTTATAAAAATAGTTCATTGTGTCCGTGTGAGTGCGAGTGTGTGCGTGTGTGTTTGTGCTTAATTTTCATAAACGAGGATTAGCTGAAAGAAGATAATCGAGCAGAGTTAACAATTTAATTTGGATTAAAATATGAAATGCGGATTAGAGGCTATTAGAGATTTCAAATGCAATAAATAATTTAAATAAAAATAAATCCCGTATGACCACGACTTCCAGGAGGCAGTTATGAAACCTTAATTTGCAATTAATTGCATGAGGCTCTTATATCTCGTTCTTTACTCAAAACATTTTCAAAATTACATCTTTGAAATTACATTTAGACCCCTCGTTTTGAGTTGACGAAGACATCCGATCCATTAATTAACCATAAAGAAAATTTGTTGAGACGACATAATGCAACACACACTGGAGATGAGATGTTGCAACTGTTGCATATTGTTGTTGTAGTTGTTTTCCATTGTCTTTGCGGTGATTGTTGTTGATGACTACAACGATTATGATGATGATGGGCCTGTCAACAACAACAAAAGCAGCAGCAGCAACAACACCATGCAATTACATTACAATTTTTCAACAACAACAATATGTATTGACAATTACATTGTATTTTACAGAATGGACTTAGTGTTGTTGTTGTTGCTGCTGATGTTTTTGTATTTAAATACAAATTTGTAATTAAATGGATACAAATTTAATTTATGTAACTAGAACAATAACAAGAACAAGGAGAGAATTGAAACATTGTATTTGTATTGTAGGAAATGGAAGAAAATCCAGGGAAGAGGAGGGATGGGGAAAATGTATTTGGGTGGGTAGAAAATAGAGTCACTTTAGTTGATCTATTTAAGAGATGTCACTATGAGTCATAAGGCTCACCTGCGCTAGAGAAGATGCCGTTTAGGACCACCTATCATAGAGTTCATAAAGCCAAGACCCACCTATCATAGAAAATATGTCACCCAAAAGCATCTACAGCAGCGTAGAAGTCACTCCGGATCATCTACGGTAGAATACATGTCATTCGGGGTCATCTACTATAGAGCAAATGAAACCCAGGGGCAACCAACGCAGATTCGGGGTTATTTACGGCTGAGAAGATGGTACTCGTAGGCATCTACGGTAGAGTAGATACCTCTCTGGGTCATCTACGGTAGAGTGAATATCACTCTGGGTTATTATAGATGTCACTCTACTATTGATGATAGATTGATGGATGATCGATCAGGATCATCCACAGTAGAGTAGACATTACTCTGGGTCATCTACGGTAGAGTAGATGTCGGTCGGGGTCATCTACGGTATAGTAGATGTCACTCGAGAACATCTACTGTAGAGTAGATGTTTAACGGGTTCACCCACGGGATGGTAGATGTCACTCAGGGTCACCTACAATAGAGTCAATGTCACTCGGGGTTATCTACGCGAGAGTTGTTGGCACTAGGGGTCATCTACGGTAGAGTAGATTTCACTCTGGGCCAACAATTGTAGAGTATATATCACTCTGGGTCATCTCCAGTAGAGTAGATGTCACTCTGGGTGATTTACGGTAGTGCAGATGTTGATCGGGATCTCCTACGGTAGAGTAGATGTTACTCTGGGTCATCTATGGTAGAGTAAATGTCAGTCGGAATCATCTACAGTAGAGTAGACATCACTCGGGGACATCTACTGTAGAGTAGATGTCTCTCGGGGTCATCTACGGGAGGGAAGATGTCACTCGGGTTTATCTACAGTAGAGCAGATATCTCTCGGGGTCTTATACGGAAGAGTGGATGTCATTCGGGGACATCTACGGGAGGGTGGATGACTTTCGGGGTCATCTTCAGCAGAGTAGACATCAATCGGAGACATCTACGGCAGAGTAGATGTGATGACTCTCGGGGTCATCTATGGCAGAGTAGATGTTACTTCAGTAGAGTAGATATCTCTCGGGGTCCTCTTCAGCAGTTCAGCTGAGCTTATCAAAGCAAACGGACGTGTCTTAAAAACCCGCGCATCACCGCAAGTTTTTCCTTAAAGTTTTCTCCTCTCAGTCAATTTGTTTTAAAAAAGAAAAAAAAAAAACGAAAATGCAAAAACAAAATCTAGACTTATTACAAGTGCCAGAAACTGTATGCGGTAAATGCAATGCTCCCATAACGTCGGAGAACTATGTTTGGTGTCGCAACTGCGACAGAAAATTCCACTTCTCAACTTGTTCTGTGCTCTCCGAATCCAGCTACAAGACTATGAGCACAAATCGTAAATTGGAGTGGAAATGCGAAATATGCAAACCAAGGCAGAAATCTCCCAACAACACCTACCACACATTTTTCTATTCTGGTGATATGCAAAATTTGGCTAAACAACAATATCAACAAGCAGACGAAACCCCGACTGCAGCACAACCTAACTGTGGTGATGAAAACGCACAGCCAAATACCCAACAACAACAGTAGAGTAGAATCATCTACTGTAGAGTAGACATCACCCGGCGTCATCTACGTTAGAGTAGTTATCAGTTGGGGACATCTATCCTCTGGGTCACCTTAAGTAAAGTAGACATCACTCAGGGATATTTACGGTAGAGTAGATGCCAGTCGGGTACATATACAGTACAGTAGTTATCTCTCGGGGTCTTTTGTGGGAGAGTGGATGTCCCTCGGGGTAATCTACCGGAGTGTAGAAGTCCCTCGGAGTCATCTACGGCTGAGTAGATGTCTCTCGGATTCCCCTACGGTAGAGTAAATTTCACTCTGGTCATCTACAGTAGGTTAGATGTCTCCCGCGATCATATACGGAACAGCAGATTACACTCGGGTTCATCTACCCTCAATGTAATCTACTGTAAAGTGGATGACCCTCACGGTCACCGAAGAAGTTGGCCCCACGGTCACCTACTGCAGATAGGATGACCCTACCGGAGAGTAGATTACCCACACGAGTATCTACTATAGACTAGATGACCCCCACGATAATTGAAGACAGATTTCTGTATGATGGCATATCAATTTGATCCTTTTTTCTTAACTCTCCAAACAGGCAACGTGTTGTTAGGCAATATAAAATTGCCGGTGTAATTAACACCGTTCTTGGCCAATTCCGGTTTTCATTGCAAAAACCCAAATCCTCCCCCTTCCCTTATTAATTGCAAGTGGGTCGGACCATCTGATTGCCGTTTTAATGCATTACAGTTGCCAGTTGTCGTAAACGAATGTTAATAACAGCTGAGCGGCTATGTTTACATTCGATTTCTCTATCGAAATTATGCTCTCAGGGATGGATTTACAGGTAAGCCTCTCTTTCTCTCTCTCTCTCTGTTTACCTGTTGTTTGGTAAGTACAAGTCGGGTTTCAAACATCACCTACCGACACAGGTATTTGTGTTGCTGTTATCGTTTGACTGTGTGAAATGGTAGCAGTTGCGGTCGGTTTTGATTGATTGTGTGGCTGTGTGTGTGTGCGTGTTTGGTTAACTGTGTGAATTTTGGCTGGTAGCTGTGGCGTTTTAGAGTTTTGCTTCAGTTCGGCTTAACATATGTTTAGCTTAGTTGCAAAACAAACGAGCCATAGAGTGGACGAGCTGACGGACAGACACAGAAGAAACCACGATACGTGTTCCACCCCAAAAATAAAAGAAAGAAAAAACATATCGAACAATACTGGGAAAATTTGGAAAAATAAATTTTCAAGTATTGAAACGGTTTAAATTTAAAGTTTCTTTGCGTCAAAACTCCGCTCACTTTATCGCTTGGTGTTCGAATCGAAAAATAAACAATTTTCCAATTATTGCAAGTGAAAAATAAAAACAACATCAAAACAATTGCCAAATTATTGCCCAAACGTGTCTAAATTACCAACAACAAAAAACAAACATTTGGAAGCCTCTTTCAAGTCGTATTGAGAAAGTCTTTGAACCATAAAACCCAAGCCAAACAACGATTGCGAAAGTGTAATTGAGTAATTGGCCATAACCGAAAAAAACGCGACAATAAAAACGTCAAAAAGCAACAACAACAACAACAAATTTGTAATTTACAGACGAGTTCACAACAAATCTATTGACCATGGATATAGCTTGGCGTTTTCGTATTGCGATTTTCGTCGTGGTGGCCTTGATGGTATTCGGTGACTTTTTTGGCTATGGCGGTATGATGCGTGTGGTCAAATCGGATCCAAATCAACAGACAGCAGCAGCGGGGGCGGGCAAGTTCCAGCAGAAAAATGCCGAAATTGAAATCAGTGAAGGTGAGTTTGAACAGCTTCCTCTACGCCGTAGTTGGGCAAATAGAATCCCACAAATCCATTTAAGGTAGCTTGTATCAATGATTTATGGGCCAAAAACAAATAAATAAACAAACACAAAATCTATGAATTAAAATTTTGAGATTTGATTATTGCCTTTCCATCAAAAATTCGTTTTTGAATTTTGATTGAATTGAATTTTGGAGTGCAATAACTTAGGGTTATCTTTTGTTGTAGCCTCATACATTTGCATGAAAATCAACATTTCAAATTTTGCATGCAGCTGATTTTGTAATGATCGATTTGTTGGCTACCCCCCGTTTGTTCGATTGCCGAAACATTTCACAAACGAGGCCATTCATTCATTCAATCGTTTGTTCGTTCGATTGTTTGGTTGCTCATCATCATTACCATCATTTTTCTGTGAAAAATTGTGTCAATCTATAATTTGCATTTTTTGGGTTTGTTAGATTTCAAAATCAAAAAATATTGAAAAAGAAAAATTTATTTGAAATTCAATAGGGTTCACATTTTGAAAAATCGATTTCCATAATAAAAAAGTATTTCGTTTTTGATTTGCTTCAACACACCTACTGACACCATAGTTTTGAAGCCGATGTGGGCTGTTAGATTTGTTTACCTATTGGGAAAACCCATGGTTATTACAGTTGTTTTTCCATATTCGATTTTTATGACAGTCATTAGTTTTATTGTTCTGGATTTTCCATTTTTAGTTAACAAAAAACTGAAAATAACAGCGGGTGGATGCTTAATGGCATTTTCTATTTTTGGAAATATAATTTATTGCATAATTTTTCAACTGCTATCTTTTTAATAGTTTAGTAGGTAAATTTGAATTTATTTTCCGTAAATTCTCGAAATGCAAGATTTGATTTTTTATTAGCTACCTATCTGCGTTATATTTTTTGAAGGTAACATCTCGGAGGTCTATTGTCTCCGTTTTATGAGCTTCGTGAATATTCAAAATGTTGACCCTTTGTGGGGATGGAGCCAGAAGGAGTGGACCAATGTACCCCATTTTCACAGCAGATCTTGTGTTAGTAGAAATAATCGGAAGAGTGAAATATGAAGAGAACTGTAGGATTATTTCGGATTTTATAATCGTTTTGGTTATTCACAATTTTGACCCTTTGTGGGGGAGGTACCAGAAGAATTGGAAGAATTAGAATATTGAGATGTGCCAAATCTGAATTGGATGTTAATTTTACGTTTTATGAGCTTCAGAGATATTCAAAATTTTGACCATTTGTGGGGGAGGTACCAGAAGGGGTGGACCGATATACTCCATCTTCACACCATACCTTGGGTTAATAAAACTATTGTGATCTGTGTAATTTGAAGACAATCGGATTCTTAGATCACTTTTTATAAGAGTTATAATTTTTCAAAATTTTGACACTTTGCGGGGAAGGTACTTGATGGAGTGAATCGATTTTGCCAATTTTCACACCTAACCTAGTACTGATGCAAATATTAGGCCGAGTTGGAGCAAAATCGTATTATCCTCTCTCATTCTGTGCAGTGAAATATATTTTTTTTATGAAAATTTCGATCTTTTGTGGGGGAGGTACTAGAAGAAATGGTCCGATATCTTACATCTTTATAACAGATCTTGTGTTGATGGAAATATTGAGATGTACCAAGTCTGAACGGAATCGGATGTTAATTTTACGTTGGCTTAATTCTAGTTTGGTCTTAATTTTTTCCAGTGGTAGGTAGTTTTACCCTGATTCAACGTTTTTTTGTGAGACGGACCCGGGATCCCAAATTTCTGACCCGAAAGTCCAGGTTCAAGACACCCAATATAGGTATCGTTGAAAATACCTGTCCAATAAGTCACATGAAGTGGTAAGTTATAAGCGTTTCGAAAGATATAGTCAAATTATTGATTTTCTGCACCCGGATTTTTTAAAAAACCATCATAAAGTCGAAAAAGGGGCTATTATGGGGGTCAAAAATATTGATGCCAAATTATTGCTGACACTCTTGCCTTTGTGCTAATATCTTTTTCTGGGTCCAGAGATATTTTCTTCTAACTACTTTCAACCGACCACACGAACTTAAGTCTTGAACTCGTACTTTCGGGTCAAAAATCTGGGGTCCCGGGTCCGTGCCTCAAGAAAAAAAGTTACCCGGAATCAGGGTAAAAACCTACCACCGGAAAACATTTCAAAAAAATCAAAGAGGTTTTACTAAACTAGTGTTCGTCCAAATATTTTTTTTTTTTTGAAAATTTTGACTTTTTGTGGGAGGCATCAGAAGAAGTGGGCCGATATTGCTCATCTCAGAACTCGATCTAAGTTTGATAATAATATTACCGTGTACCAAGTTTGGACAAAATCATATACTCTCTTCGAGAGTCATCGTGCGCACCAGCCAGCCAGATGGACGGACATCGGTAGTTTGACTCCTAATGTCCTAAAACGTGATGAGACACGTTTGGCAGTAATAAATGATAGCCCTATGGCTGATGATATAATACATGGTCTATTGCAGAACTGTAAGAATGTGAAGGTTTTTACTACGATAACCGATTTTCTCTTTTTGATATCGAAAAAATGTGCAAAAATGGTAGATTCTTGCAGGTTCTGAAACGGAGCAAAAATGTACATGGCTCGGTCAAACTAGAAGTTATTATTTCAGTCTTTACTATGCCTAACATACAAAAGATATCTTTCACATACAGGGTAATATTCTCTAGTAAATTAAACACTTCGATATTGTCGAATCGAAGTGTTTCATTTCTAATGGGTATGTTCCTTTATATTCTACTACAGCTCGGCCAACCTGACAGGTGTGACCACCCAGGTAAAATGGCAGTTAACTACGCAATGGTAAACTGTACTTTACGGATGTGCCCTGTCCTCAGGATCATTTGTATTCCACAGTCGCAGGTTACATGCTTCTATCACTCGGTCATAAGGGATCTGTATAAGACCCTTTAAATTTCGGTACAAGCTTCTTATTAACTTATATCGTTGTGCTCACATTTCTAATTACTACGAAGTCTCATACCTTAAAGGAGTTAACCCTACATCCCTTTTCTTCGGACCTCTATTCATTATATTTTTGCACCCTAGCAATGGTGCAATCTTTTTGATACACCAAAACTTTACAGACTGAATTTTTAGATAGGCTCCGCTCTTGTGAACAAATTTGTTGTAGATCTTCTAAATATAGGAGTTGGTAGACATATTGTGGTTTATACCTTAATTGCTGAAAATCTCGGTTCGATTGTATTCGGCTCGTAATCTCACACGGATACAGAGCAACTTGACCTGTCGCCCCAGCCTGGGAGCCGGTGTTTTTAACCTCATCTAGAATAGTTTTGCGTCTTTATGCCATAAAGACATTAGATGTTGTTTTAATGAAGAATTTGAAAACAACTTGCCTTTTAAATTTATTTCTTTGGAATAATTTCAATTTTATTTTTTTTATAAAAACTCCCAAAAACACGTTTTTCAATTCTTTTATTTTCCAGAAGTCAATTTCCATTGATTTGTATTATATTATTATATAATTAGAAAAAAAATATATGAAGACGTCACTCAACAAATAAAAACAAAAACATATTTGAACTTTTGATTTTTAAAATATGTAAATTATTTTCGTCGGAATTATCTGGTTTCCTAACAATAACAACAGACTTGGCTAGCGCATAAACAACCGGCTATAAGAAATGCTTGTCATTTCTTGAGGCGATCTTTGGAAACATACCAAACTTCTAATGGAGAATTTCATTGGGTATTGACGATGAAGAAACTAGTTGGAAATTCTTAAAATAACTTATGTTTAGGAAAAAAAGGGAAAGTACGGAATTTGTTTTTTAATTTATTGGGAATATTTTGTTATTTTTAAAGAGAAATAAAGTGCGTCGTTATAAAAATTATTATTGTGGACAGCAGATGTTTGTTTAAATGGAAGATTACTACTTATTATATTCTATTTTATTATTCTACTTACACACGAAACCTTACGATTTTCTTCGTAGATTATTCGAAATCAGTTTTTAGGGTTAAAGTAGTATTTTGTGTGAATCCGTGACAACTTGTATCACAAACCCTAATTTCAGATCAATTTTTGGATTGTTTTTTGAATTTTAAGAAACGTAGATCTTTAAGGATAAAAATATTGAGTTTTTCAGAATTTTTATATAGATCTTCCGAACAAATATCGTAATCTATACAGAGTGAGATAAAAAAACTGCAACAAAGTCAAAGGCCATAATTTTTAATTTTTTCCTTTAATTTTATTGAATGAAAGCAAAAAATGTCGGAAATAGCATCAACTTTTAGAATAAGTTAAGATACGTTCGAATTGGTCACCTTTGGCACAAATTATGGCCTTCAAACGGCCAATGAAACCGTCACACGCTGGCCGAATGGTGCTCTGCGGTATTTTGGCCCATTCCCGGCGAAGCGCTTGCTTGAGGTAATCGACACTTTGGTTTTTTTGGTGCCAACCTTGCTTTCCAAAATACTCCCGACCCAAAAGTCCAACGGATTGGTATTCGGAGATTTTGGTGGCCATTGTGCGCTGGAAATGAACGAGGAACCTCATTTTGTTACCATTCTTGGGTGGCACGTGCTGAGTCCTGTTGGAATGTCCAAGGTCTGTGAACAAAATGTTTGCGTGCCCAAGGCTTTAAAACACCCTCCGGATATTTTCGCGATAATATTCGTTATTTATTCTAATGCCACGGCCGATTAATACGAGCGGAGAGCGATCATCGGCTGTTATGGCGGCCCACACCATCATCATGGCCGGCGCTTGAGTTCTGGTGGCCAACCGAAGTGCACATTTTCAGCCGACCTCTTTGGTAAGTAAACATGATCATTTTGTTTGTTTACAAACTGCTGGGCAACGAATGTTTTCTCATCGGAGGAAACCAAATTCGGAAGTTCACCACTTTCGGCGAAGCGAAGCAACTCTTTAGCTCTTTTGAGTCTATTTTCTTTCTGTTGCGGTGTAAGTTCTTGCAC